ATCTATAGCAGCATCCAACCATCATCACCAATATATCAGTTATGAAGATAGGCTTTATATTACTATGACTTAGTGAAACTATAAAGTGCTGTAAACAGTAGTCAGAAACAGTGTAGCCCGATGGAAGCAGAATGGGAAGACCCATGTTTTCTTCACTTTCAGCCCCAGTTCTCTCAGCCCAGTCTATTTCAGTCTTTTGTTCTATGCGTTATGTGTGAGACACTTTTGTTGCATGCATGTTTGTTTGCTTTTTTGTTTATTAATTCATTTTGTATGGTTACCCATCTGAACAAATGATTCTGAATAGCTCCAAATAGTGTGTATGGAGCATTAACCATTGATTGAATTGTTTAACAAAGATAAGGCCGTTGTCCAACAATGACTCTCTTTTCCTCAGCCAGGTCACTAACTTTGCAGCTGGGCAGTGGAGTCCTGATTGCAGTTCCCTGTCCTCCACATGAAGCTGCTTCTGGGCAGCTTATTGAAGAAGCAATCCAGCAAGCTTTGGAGGAGGCTCAGTAAGATTTTTTTAAATAAATTATCAATGTGCATAACAGTATAACAACACAGTAATAGATGTGCAAAGTTTCCAGTTCAAATCTATTCATGTATAAGCTCATGCGATGGCTTTACATAGTATCCTTCATCATTTTGTCCCAAAGCAACCCCCAAAGCAAAGTATAACGTGAGTTTGATCATTCTAATATTTCAGGTTAAGTATATACTGTAGTGATTTTGTATAGGAGATCCTTTGAGCATTCAGCAAGAGAGCAATGTAAATTCTAGGAATGTTAAATTTTAACTAAACAGCTAAGGTGGTCCAAATCTGTACAATGGCAGATTATGGTTCATGATCCAAAAAAGGAGGGGAATGGGATTGCAACATTATGTCATCTATTCTCCAGATTTAATACCTCCACCCCCACCCCATGAACACCATTGCCTCCAAGCAAGATTGTTGTACATGCCTAGGGACGATTTGTTTTCTAAGTTCTGCAACAGTAGGCAATGTTAAAGTAGTGGATAGTGTACAACTAGTTCTCTTACTGTTTTGTTTAAAGACAATATATCACTATTAGGGCCATAAAGCATTATGGCCCTAATAGTGATATATTGTCTTTAAACAAAACAGTAAGAGAACTAGTAGAGGGCTAAATCTTTCTCCTTGGGACATTTTCCCACAATTCAAAACTTGCATGATTCAAAGGAAGAGACACTTGTGTTTTTTCATTCATTGAGCATTTCAGCTTCGGGGACCGGATGAATTAGGTAAATAACGCTGTGATCCCGGTTCAGATTGCTTTCTCCAATATTTGCCATTTTAACAGTTTGAGCAGATGCAATCACAGATCCCCCACTGTGTTTCCCATCCAAAATATATCATCCTTGTGGAAGCTTCCTTCAAGGTTCCTCCCAATCAGAAGGCTTTTGATAAGGGTTTTTTCTTTCTTTCTTTTTCTTTTGCAAAATATCTAACTTTGTAAATGGATTAGCTATCAATCATGCAAAGCTATGCTTGTTGTTCCACTTACAGGGAAAAAAAGATCACAGGAAAGGAGCTTACGCCCTTTTTGCTGCAGAGGGTAAATGAGTTATCTGGTGGAGAGTCACTGAAGTCCAGTATCCTTTCCTATCTTACAGCACCCTTTCGAACTCTCCCCCCAAATGCAACTTCATAATTTCTTCTTGCAGTATCCATATAGAGTTCTGCAATATTGCTACCTGACCTGTCCTTCAAAAGTCACTCCCAAAGCATCTTTTTGCTGATCTCGGCTGAAGTTGGAAGAGCAAAACAGCTCAAATTGCTCTGAGGGTGGGCAGCCAAGGGAAGCAGTCAAAAAGGAAAGAATGGAGGCAGTACATAAACAGGCACGGTTCCTCCATCTGTGAGACAGAGGATCATGAATCCAAATTGCTCCTTCAGGAAAGCCATGACTGAGAAGTTATTCCTATTTGCAAAATGTTTATGGTAATTTACAGCCAGACTGTGTCAATGTCATCAGGCCTAGGTAGGGTTTTCCTCCTATGGCTACACACTGGGCTTCCCAAAATATCAGATACTTTACCAGTTTGGTTTCTTATTGTTTCTTGTGAAATTGGTATTCATATTTTTTCTAGAAGAGACTACCGTGGAAACCTGACTCTCCTTGTCATCAACAAAAATCCTTAGTTTCCCTTTTGGCTTGGAAGATATCTATGTTTTAGGCACAATAGTGGGATTGTTGGGAGTCAGTAGGAGCATTTGTGAGAGGAAAGAGGTTCATCTGTGCAAGATTCAAATTCATACTTCCCTCTTCATCTTGAAATTCAGAGTCCCTAGGCCTAGAAAGAAGGTCTAGACTAGTGTTTCTCAACCTTGGCAACTTTACGATGTGTGGACTTCAACTCCCAGAATTCTCCAGCTAGTGTTGCTAACTGGAGAATTTTGGGAGTTGAAGTCCACACATCGTAAAGTTGCCAAGGTTGAGAAACACTGGGCCACTGAGCCAATCTTCGGCAAACGACAACATTTAGAAAATCTTCCTTGGAAACGGAAACAATTAACTTGATCTGTGGCACTGTGTTGATAAGCAGCAGACCTTCCAACCTAGAGTCATTGAAAGGATTCCAGTAGAGTTCTTCATCCTCTACTGCATGACTCGACTCAACTGCTTTGCCAAGGTGTTTGCAGAAGCTGGACTAGATGGAATTACAAAACTTTTTGATCTTAAATTCTTATAGCAATCATTTGAAAAATCCAGTAAGCTTGTTTCACGGTTGGGTGATATTTCTTACTGCATTGTAACAGTGGAATCAGAAAATATTAGGATGGCCATATATACATATACATTTACATATACACATACACATACACATATACGTGTGTGTGTGTGTGGGTAAAGTTTAATGGACACATTCCTTTTTTCTATAATGTATTTTCTCTTTTGAAGTAATGTCTATATAGCCATTCCAGAAGGCATAAGAGCAGCTTTAGATAACAGGGTGGGCTTTGAGGGTTTGGGGTTTATGTTTATCTTTCATTGTTATTGTTAATTGTATAGATATCCCATCTTTTCTCTGAGAATGCAAGGTGATTTAGATGGGAGTGAAACATCTCTTCTAATTTTACCCCTATAACAATTACCTGGTGAGGTAGAATCCAATACATGGTCTCGGTGTTCCACATTTAGCATCCTAACCACCATACCTTACTGATTGTTTCAGTTCTTGGGTTGTTACATTTTTATTTCCTTTATCAATTGGTATCAGATATTGCATTGATCAAGAATAATGCCATAGTGGGCAGTCGCATTGCTGTAGCCCTGAACAGACTCCAAAGAGGTCAGGGTGGGAGAGGCAACTTGTCTCAAAATGAAAACACACCTGATGTGCCAAGACCAGTGAGTACTTTCCCCTGTTTTTGCCTTTTTTTCAAGAGTTCTGTTGTGTGAATGGTTTGCTGAGCTGGACCATTCTAACTGTTACCACGAGAGAGGGCAATGTCTAAATCATTTAGTCAATCTTCACTCTTGTAGATGACTTGGAGAATGGGTATTTCAACTGTCAACCAGCATTATTCCCTGGATTAAAGGTCATAGGAAAGCATAAGATCTGGCCAGGAAAATAATTTTAGGTAATGGGAGGCCCTGAGCAGCTAGTTGCTCTGCATTTTTGGAGCAATTTATCTGCTTATTTGAATGTTCAACTTATACTTTAAAGTGGAAGAGCTGTAAAAGTCAAATAAAAGTCCAACTGAACATTTGATAACATTTTCACATTTCTTTTTCCTTTTTAGGTAGTCATTGGTGGCATCAACATTGACATCATAGCCAAGGCAAAAGCTGCAACAATAAAAGTAATTGCATTTAATAATATTCAGATTTTGCTCTTCATTTGATCTGTTATTTCAGAACTTGTTATCATCTTTTCTGAATAACAGATCATAAGGCTATGCAGATGGTAATAGACTGTATAGACCAAGTCAAATTCAAACTGTTTGTAGAACTGCAGTAAATTTGAAATGCAGCAAAAATTGCCAGCTTAAGCAAAGAAAAAAGTGTTCTCTAGAGTCTTCGGCCAAAAATATATACATATTGCTGACTATCCTCATTCTGATCACCAAGGCTGTCTGTTCTTAAAAGAGACTTATATACAGGGTTGAGCACTTCCTCCTTATAACAGTCATAAAGCTGATCGCTCATATTTTCAGAGAGAGTTTTTTTAAAAAAAATAAATCACAGAACAACAAACCTGCTACACAGCAGCAGAAGTCAAAAGCATGAGACCCTCAACTTTTGATGCAAAAGCAGCCTTTGTGTCGTTAGAGAAACAAAGGCGGGGAGAAGCAGAATTCTCTATGGAATTCTAAGTGCGGATTGCTCAGCCTGAAGAACTACTATCACCACTAAACGAAACCTAGGTCAGTGATGGCAAACCTTTTAGAAACTGAGTGCCCAAACTGCAATCCAAAACCCACTTATGCATCGTTGAGTGCTGGGTGGGTATGGCCCATTGGGTGGGCGTGGCCAGTTGGGTGGGCGTGGCTGCAGTGGTAACAGCAGATTGGGTGGGATTAAAAAGTTCAATCAATCAATTCCAACTTTGCAAGATCTTTTTTTTTCCTGCAAGAAGTTGAAATTGACTGATTGAACCTCTTTTTTTTTTTTTTGCACACGGCGGCGAAAAGGTTTTATAAAACCCAGCTGAAGGTCTAGGACTAGGGCGACGGCGTGCGTGCCCACAGAGAGGGCTCTGAGTGCCGCCTCTGGCACCCGTGCCATAGGTTCGCTACCACTGACCTAGGTTAAAGCCTATTGGTCCATTTTATCCCTGGCTACTCTCTATCCATTTCTTGTGGTGGTGTTACAAAGTGTCCACATTTTTTTTGCTCCTGGAAATTCACAACTGAGATGCAGAGAGTAATTGCAGTGACTTCTGCCATCAAAAGCACTCATGTTGAGACCCTGGCATCTTATGAAGAAAAATAAATGGTGGGCCATTTATAACAAATAGCAGCATTAAGGTAAATGCCACATTGAAATGTATTGAGCAGTTTGATTGCGGGTTAGAGAAACTACTGGCTCAAAAGTAATAGCTATCCAGAAAACTCCACCCGGTGGGAATATATTGGTAATACCATGAATCAAAAGCAGTGGAAATGTCTCATAACAGATAGCACTTACCTAAGCAATGACTTGAATAGAGATGTTTGCTTTGTTCTGTGCCCAGATGGAACATTTGGTGCCAGGTGACATAAATACAACCTTTGGGAAAACCAACCTTTGTTGCATTTCCAACTGTTAGTGATTTATCTGACAGGTGGCTCAACAGAAGAATGTAAAAGAGGTGTAGACAGTGGTGAGATTTCATTAACTGAACTAAAAAAAACCCTTCCTAATGCTTAGAGACAGAAAGAAAACACACACTATGATAAATTAGCCCAGATGAAGTGCTTTACTATACAGTACAAGTAGTCCTCGACTTACAACAGTTCATTTAGTGATCATTTGAAGTTACAATGGCACTGAAAAAAGTGACAACCATTTTTCACACCTATGATTGTTATAGCATTCCCATGGTCACATGACCAAAATTCAGATGCTTGGCAATTGGCTCAATGTCTCAGGGTCATGTGAACCTCTTTAGTCTTTAGTGATTTGACAAGCAAAGTCAGTGGGGAAGCCAGATTAACTTAAAGAATCATGTTGCTAACTTAACATCTGCAATGATTGATCTCCAAGTAAGGTGGTAAAATGGGGCAAAATTCACTTAACAAATGTCTCACTTAGCAATAGAAATTTGGGGCTCAGGTGTGGTTGTTAAGTCAAGGATTATCTGTAGTTTAGAGGACTTGCAAAGACCAATGCAGGTGAAAGGAATCAATTCAATAAAAAACAGCTGTAGGAATTTCTGATATCAGTCCAGGAGGCAGAGACATATTGTTGTGATAGGACCAAAAAGTGATGTTGCTAAATTTTTTATTTATTTTTTTTT